GTAAATAAGAGAATGGGGATAAACTTATCATCTATATGGCAGATTCTCTCTTTAATGAAGCAAAACAGATGAGGGAGAAAAACAAATTCAATACTATATTAAGAACCCTGTGAAAGTATTATCATATTTTCACGTGTTTCACATACACTCATACAGGCATATATGCTCACATTGGCAATTTGACATTAGTCATTACAAATATGTGATGACTGTTTACATTTTTCTATTGGTACAAATGTCTACTGACAAGCGAGCTACCTTCTAAGGCGCTCACTTCAATTTATGTTATGTTTGACTGTATGATTTGAGGGCTGATAAAGTCCGAATAATTCTGCTGGATGAAGAAGCTGGCTGTGATTTACACAGCGAGAGAGAGTAACGTTCAGGAAGAACAATTTTGTTTTGATTTCTTTTGTTAGCTTCAACACACTGGGATTATTTTACAAATAATTTATAACAATGTGTTACAATTTTCAACTTGATTTCAAAAGTGCTCACCATGCTTACAGCTCCTTTTGTTTTATTCAATCGTTCGTTTTTTGTTATTGTGTTGGTGAAGTCAGTGAGATGTGTGTTGTGTGATACTACTACTGTTACTAATAATAATATTCACAATAACAATAGTGATTCTACGCGTATGACAATTTGTACAACTTTCTTTATATCATCACTGCTCAAACACACATGCGCAAAATTTATATCCTATAGCACCGTTGAATGATTTGGATTGTACTCAGTTTTGTTTTAGCAACTTCTTTTTCTTAATCCTTTTATAATTCATATCAGTGCTCAAATAACTCGGTGTACTTTCTATTTTACGTTTTTATCATCATCATCATCATAATTAATTAATTAATAATTAACTGATTTAAGTTTTCATTCAATGATTAATAATTTACACACCCACACTCGCGCCCACACATCCACATTTGATTATGATTTGACAAATGTGGTGATGCTGTGTGTGCTATTTGTTGTAGGCGTATTTGTGCACCACCGCCCAGTGGAGTCATTCTCTCGAAGCGTATTCTTTATTATTATCATTATTATTCAAATGAATTAATTAATTGATTAGAAATGCCCATTAAAATTTTCAAAAGAATGGACACAAAACAAAGAGTACTCTTTTCGATAACGTCATCATCAGGTTCTACAATTATATATACATTATAGTGAATGAATTAGTGTTATGAACGACTTTAATGGCGTCGGTGTCACAGCGGTTAGGACTCTCGCCGACCATGCACATGGTCCGAGGTTCGATCCCCTGCCGACGCACACCCGATATCAATGGTCGGCCTGCTAAATTTGGGCTACCGATATCACATGCTGAAAATTCCATACTTGTACCAAAAATACGGTGTGGAATCAAGCTATAATCAGAAATAACATCGAATCAATAATAATATTGATAGATAACAGCTCAATAGTATCAAGATAAATTAAGCTGAATGTCAGAAGAATTATGAAAGATAACAGTACAGATTCATGAGTTTATGGTCTCTACTGAAGGCCAGGGCAGTAGTTGGGGCTTGACTTGCTTCTTTTGTACACAGAGCACTGGTTGTTTGAAGCGAATTGCAATAGCCTCGGCTGTTTGGAGCATGCGGTGCTTCGATGATTTTGGCAATTTATTAGGCACCCGGTAGATTATAGAGGAGGATTATTCCACGCTGGCTTTGTGGCCAGTTTGCACCAGATGGTCCAATATCGAACTGTTAATGATTTTAACTACGCCTTTACTTAGCCATAGTGGGATATGTTCTCAAGCACGAAAAATCAAGTTCCTGGAGCAATGGCCAATATAACTCGCTCCACAAGTACAGTTGAATTGTTGCACCTTATATAACACAAAATTATGATTAACTCTCTGATGAACTTACGCATATTTACCCTACTTATAATATCTTCATTTCTTATTCTGACGAGGTTTCTGCTATTGCCTTGAAACTGTATGAATACTGATCGAATATCTGTTATTTTTTTCATCTATTGAATCCAAAATTTATTTGGAAATACTGCTGATTGGTCGTCGATAGTGTCTTTTTATCGCTCGTCTACACTTTGTGCTGACGAAATTCTACTGAACAAGTTTACAATATGGTTGACTAAGTTAGAAAGTTAAAATCTATATTGTTTCTGTGGGTTCCGAGTGGAACATAGGGCTGGCTTCAACAACACATCTCCACTTTCTTCTATTTTCTGGTTCATCTGGCTGACCCCCATGATTGCCCATAATTTGTCATTTCCCCAACACACGATCTCCTCCATGTCACCCTCGCACCGACGACACACTAGCCGCTTCACATTGGGGTTCCACTCCACCGATGGTCTGCATTCCACGCGATGTCATTCGACAATCTCCTCAGTGTGTGCCCTATCCATCTCTATTTTCCCCTACATATTTTTTGAGCAATCGGCTCTTGGTCGGTTTGTTCTCAACCAACCAGAGTTTCTTGTTGCTAATTCTTTCTGGCCATGGGTTCCCACATTTGATCTTCAATAAGGAGTTAGCGAAGACAGCTATTGATAAGAGTTAGCAGTAGCCTTTTTGAAATGCTTTTCGTGATACACCTATCAAGTTTCTGATTCATACAGGAAAACCGACTGACTGACTGACTTAACATTTGTGTTGAAAATCCGAAGCTTGTTGCTTTTGTATAGGCTGAGTGAGAGCAGAAGATTTCCGAACTGATTTCAGATTGATGAAGGTGTATCTTGTCTTTCCGATTCCGACTGTCTTTTACATCTTCATCCGTTCGGTCACTTGTGGTTGAAACGATGCTTCCTGGCCAGATAAGTGAAAGAAATGATCTCTTTCAAATTGCTCCCTTTGATGGTGATTGGTGCTGGTTGTTCTTGTTGTTGCTGTTGGTTGGTTGGTTGGTTATCTCCATCAGCTCCATCGTCTTTATGTTCACCTAGAGTTCTATCTTCGCCGCCTGCTCGCGTCTTCTGCCAGTTTGTTGATATCCATCCTCCTGCAAGTCTTCGAGTTTATGTAACATTGGACATTGATCATCCACACGCGAAATCCAGGTCTTCTGGAGTCTTATCGGTGGTTCAGCGTATTCCTGTCTTCTCCATCCCCACCTAAAGTGTTCTGTATTATACGGTTCATCATATGTAGGAATATGATTGGTGATAATGGGCAGTTAGTCTTGTCTTACTCCTGTATTCACTTCAACGACTTCTTCACTGAGTTTTCCTTTGTGGATCACGTGACACGTGGCACTGTCATATAGCCAGCCAGCTGTTGATTGAGGTTGATAAAGACTTGGGCACTGCATGCTGTAGTGTTGAACCAGTTTTCAAATCACTAATTGGTCAACGCTGTCTGTCGAAGGCCTTATCGAAGTTGATGAAATTGAAGTAGGAAGAGGTCTGACTGCCATTCTATGCTTTCTTGTGTGATGATTATGAGTAGAGTTTCAAATTGATCCCCACATGATTTACCTTTCCTGAATCCCGCTCGTTTTGGTCGGTGGAGTTGTGCACCCAGCACCTTTTCAATTCTCTCCAGGATGATGCGACCTGGTATTTCAGTTTGCGTAGAGAAGAGCATTATTCCACACCAGATCTTGGAGTGTCCTTATTGGTTTTTCTTTGGTAGCTAAACGAAGTAGACCGTCTTCTAATCAACAGGCACCTCTCCTTCCTTCCTAAGCTTATGCAGTAGTGGCGCCAGCATATCCGCTGTGGTCTCTAGGTCTATTTTCAATGCTTTTTAAGGGAAATTCCATCCGGTCCTGCTGCCTTCCCGGAATTCATAGTGGTGATTAGTGTTTCTCTTCACTTAACACTACTCACGGATACCTCTTAAAAATGTAATAATTTTAGACTTAGAAGTCTGTATATATATTCGAACTGGTGATTACTTTTTGCAGACGCTAGGTCAAACCATAAGTTAATAATACTCACATCGATTGCGTAATAAACACCTTATATGAAGGATTTCATGACTTCAAAAAGAAAGACATTAAAATCTTATGGCCATTATAATTTTTCTCTCAAACTTTATTATTTAGTTACTTGGGATTGGTTTTTAAACACTCATTGATTTGTACATAGGTCACCTTTCTTCTTATATAGCTCATGAGAGATGTGTGTTTCTTTTACCGTCTCAATATTTTTATTATCTCTTAGGGCGTTAACGATTTTTCATCTTACTAAGCTTCGGAAATATCTGAGTTCTGTCAAAGATTGACAAATTATTCTAACAGGAGAAAGTCTACTGTTTGACGTGTAGTACGTAGATAGGAGTGTGGTGAGAGCTCTCTTTGTGATCTGCCTTATCCTCTAAACCCTATTGTTCTTTCATGTTGTGGTGAGAGCTGTCTGCTGGCCGAAATTGTAGACTACAATTTACGTCATTGTTTACACTCCGAATGGAGATCATGAAAAAAACCAATAACTAAGCTTAACCTTGATGAACTCAACAACCAATCACAGCAGACTTAGCGTGGGCGGATATGAATCGCAGATATATATAGTCTGACCTTCGAGGAAATGGACACAAAGAGATGATAGAATAACCTTGAGCAAGAAAACAACCAATCAGACGAGGTTGCTTCTCTGCTAACAAACAATAACGCTAATAATAATGTACATGAAAATCTATAAATATCTATTGATTTTCTCAATAAACGATCTGTTGTCTGGCCCCCTTGTCTTCTGTCGTTACAGGAGTACATGATGATCAAAGGCAAGGTGAGTATTCATAGTTTACTCTCGGTGATAGATAGGTTGGAGGCTGTCATTATTAGTAGTGAGTTTAAGGAAATAGTGACATTGGAATTTTTATCAGACATACACACTCCAGTGCTGGTTTTCAATGTTTCTCTAACTGATATCAATCCGTGGGTGAACTCGAAAAAAACAAATCTAATCTTTACAAATAAACTCTTCAAAATCTTAAAGTAATAATATCAGTATTCATTAATCAATTTTTTTCATTTTTATATTTTCCCTCCGAATATATATATTTGTGTATATACAAGCTGGTTCTGGTCCAGAATCGTCGACACCACGATCATCGTCTATTGCGCCTACACTGCCTAGTCGTAATCGACCACCAGTACGTGGTTCTGGAATTACAGTCCTCGGTCATGGCACTGGTGATGGTCCGTATTATTTAACTCCACAAGATGCTAATCGTGCAAGGGATAAAACACCACAAGGCAAAGTATGTGTAGTGTTTTGCTTTTGTGGTGGTATTTTTCTATGCTTTCATTATTACACGTAAATATTTTTCCTTTGTTTCGTTGTTCAGCATTATGCTATTCTATACCTAATGAATGGTCTAATGGTAGGTGGTGATTTATGCTTGAATTTGTTTTCAGCTAAATGCCTACAAACTGGTTTGGTAAAGTAAATACAACGGGTTAAGAATGTAAATGTACTTTTGCTTACAGAGTCTTATCATGAGTTGATGTTGGTTAGAGAACTATTGGGAAATCAGCTAGGAGAACTGAATATCTGTTTCCTCCTCACTCGGTCGGTGAGTCTACTAACGAAGAGTCCCAAACTAGGCTGACGAAACAGCTATCTGGCAGTACTCCCTGGTGGTTTTTCAATGGTTCCTTCTTAACCAACGTCAGTTCATATTGATGTACCAAACCAATCAAATTCCTGAAGGAAAACATTTGAAAATTTTAAACACTACTCAATAGGGATTGCAGCTACATCCTCTGAAGAGTCCCGACTGGGACGAAATGTTATTCATCCACCACTGAATAATCCTCAAACATCGTTGAAGCTTCTGTAGTAGAATTCTACATGGTGTTAACGCAGACTGAGCATTTCAGTTTAATACAAAATTAACCTAAACTGTTTTTTTTTAAATTAATATTTTTTTATAGCCGTCAGCTAACAACAGTACTAATGATAATCGTGAATGGAACAATCCATCGAATTGGAATACAAATACTACACCTGTAAAATCACAGTTAAGAAAAACTTCATCTCCATCAACCCCAACTGATTTTGATGCGTATTATTCATCACATCAAACTGGAGGTCATAATCTACCACCAGTGCCGCCTAACTATCCTGATGATAATGACGATGTTGATGTCGATGTTGACGGTGATGACGGGGGTAATGTTGGCTATGGTTTAGATGATATTGACGATGAAATGACTAAAACAACTGTGGATGAATATATTGAAGATGATTTAGACGCGTCAAGTTCATCACCACCAAATGATCATAATAATATTAATAATATTAATAATCTACCTAGAATGATACCAACATCTTCAATGAAACCACATGATCCTCAGCCTCATCTTCATCAACGTTCTAGTCCTAATCAACAGCAGTATGCATCGAATAATTATCGACATAGTGGAGGTGTTATAGATCCTCATCATTATCAACAACAGCAACCGCAGCAGCACCACCAACAACAGCAGCCACAACAGCAACACCAAAGACAAACTGCCTATAGAGGTTGTTCTAGACTGGATCAACGTGGTGTATTTATGAATACAGCAGAGATGGAATATGGTGAGCCACCGTTTGAAGATTATGTTATTGTTAATTCAGATGGTTCAGGTAAGTTTATGTGGTTTTCATCTCTCCTATCCTTAAAAAAATATATCTCTACAGTCAAGTTATATATATACATATATATTATATACAATAAAAGGGGGGGGGATTGTGTAACAAGAATCCTACAAGAACACCGTACATGAGTTGTCAGTGTCAAGTGTGATCGAGTAATCTGCTAACAAGGCAAAGCAGCGGGACCTAATGGAATGACTGCAGAAGTGTTTAATATCTGCGTTAACTGAGGTATTAAGGCAGCATCTAGGAATCAGGGGTAGTTCCTTCGGGCTAGTGTGCGTCATTGATTATCCTGGCGTACAAGAAAGGAGACAAATCTTCCTGTGATAATTCACAAGGGGGATTAGCTTGATTAATAGGTTACTTAAGGTTATAGGCACAATAATAGTAATGCGTAGACTAAGCGGTTTTAAACCGGGAAGAGGGTGTATTGATCATATCTACACCGTTCGACAGATTCTGGAACATAGGCATACTTACTGTTGGCGTCCAACAATCGTCATATTTATTAACCTGAAAGCGGCATTCCATCCCGTTGACCGAGAGGTACTATGGCGATTTTTGACTGTGAAGGGGGGGGATACCGAGAAAATAAATAGCAATGATCAAGGCACTCTACTCGAACTCATGCAGCCAGCCAGGTGAGAGCTTACGGAGAGTTGTCATCTGAAGTGATGACAACCAATGGTGTCCATCAGGGATACCCGCCAATGTTCCCATTTCTCTTTAATTTCATCATGCATGTACTAATGGACCTAACCCTAACTGACTTCAGCGACTCAGGGATTGACTTATTGTCAGCGTATTAATAACCTCGTTGACCTAGAATATGCAGATGAAATAGTCTTCTCTCCTGGGTGAAGACTATGACAAAATAGACTAGAGTCTTGTGAACACCTTGAGCAGTGGGAAATCTTTGAATGTTTCGCATGCGATTGGCCCTGCTAACAAATGTAAGATGATGCTACAGGACTGGACTACTGCATTGACTCCTAGCTTAAAGAGAGGGAGTAAAGCGGTGGAGCATGTTGACCACTTCACTTATTTGGGAAGTTGCATCAGTCAACCCAGCGGGTTGATCGCTGAAGAAATCTCAAAACGGAAACAGAGCTAGTTTCGTATATGCCAGTTTACACCGCCTCTGGCGTAGACATAATATCCGGCTATCGACCAAAGGGCGGGTGTACTGATCAGCAGTTCGCTTCGTCCTCCTTTATGGTTGCGAGTGGAACATGGAGATTGAGAGTGGAAGACATGAAAAGCCTAGCTAGCTCTCTTTGATCATAAGTGTCTGCCTTCCGTCTACCGTGTTAGGTGATGGCATAATAGGGTGAGCAATATTGAGGTCAGGCATCGGTGGTCGAGTGCTAGGTAGGTGTAGGCAAGGAGGCGAAACCAATCGACGAGATTGTTGTGAAGCTACACTACAACATCGGTTGAGAGAGATGGTTAGGACATGTGTTACGCATGTCACCGTGTAATGCCATTGATCACCTTCCTCGACCGACGGGTCATGTTAGCTGACTAACATAGGATGGGTGAGGTTAGAAAAGAGCTAACACACTGTGTTCAAACGAAAATGGCTTCATCAGTCAATCAAATGCATAACAGTTAGTTTAAGCCAGTGAACTACATAGGGAAATGCAGACTTCCTGACTAGTTGGGGTCCTAGGGACAGTAAGAACCAATTTTGGCTGGAGACAATTCGTGATATGACTCAAATTCGTAGTTGTCATTGGCTGTCGCAGATGCGTTCACTCTTTATGATATATGATATCCAATAAAACTCTGTTGTTCTTCCACATTACTATTCTTCTTCCTTCACTCACACTTCTGTTCATTATCCCTCCATCTTTTGGATCTCTCTTAACTCTCTTCTGTTACAAGGAGGAAATGTGGCAAATGAAACTGTTTTGCCCATCTGTGCAAAGTTCTATGTTGAAACCAGTCAGTCAGAGTAATCTGTCGTCTCAAAAGAGAGTTTAAGGCGCATTACTGACACCGTTTTAATCGCTCACCAGTATTCGTTAAATGTGTCAGTGTCAGCCAACTTATCCTATTCTAATGTGTCTATCTTAAATGAGGAAAGTTCATGTGCCTATATAAGTGCCTATAAGTACTTGAGCCACTGTGGTTGAGTATAATTCCATATGAGATAAGCTTATATGTGCGATGTAACATATATTGATACAGTGTAAGCAACTGGATGAAGTTTTATCTGTGCCTAGCTGGATAAGGTTGTACGAATTGTCTCCATCAAATACGAGTTATGCATGTCTGTATTAGTAGACATTTATGTCTGTTCCGTTTTTTTCAACTGTAATATCTATTCGGTTGATGTGTTCCGATAAATTTAGCAAAATCGTCTATATATAATTTCACATTTTAGTCGATTAATGCTTTTCATCACTATTGGAAAACAAAAATAGATTCAATGATCCCACTTGCATTCGCCTTTGAAAGATAACATTGGCATTTTGAACTATGCAATCATCTGACAGGCTCTAAATCAGTCAGACAAAATATCACTATATGTAATTTAGCATTACTATATTACTATATACCTGTCAAATTTATGACACCTCTATTTCGAAGTAATATTTTTTGAGCATTGGATTTGTAGGGATTTTGTCTTTCATCATGAGCTGACATCAGTTAGAGAACCACTGAAAAATATGGGAATACTGGACAGCTGTTTCGTCAGCCTAGTTTGGGACTCTTCATCAGTCAGCACGCACCCAACACAGGGGTTCGAACCCAGGACCTTCTGGTTACAAGGCGAGCTCGTAGACCATTGAGCCACTGGGACCCGACAGATCCAATGGTCCTTGAATTCTAACTTCTGCCAATTCATGACATAGTGCGACCATTTCGCAATGTCTTCTTTGATGAGTTACTGCTTCATCTTCAACCTGTTGTACCCTACTGGTCACGGCTTCCCACTAGAACCCCAGGTTAGCTGCCTGAATAGGACCAATCGCTAGTGAGCATCAGATTAATTTTCAAGTATTGGTTTTGTAGGGATTTTGTTTGATTGCATGGAGGATTTCATCATGAGCTGAAATCAGTTAGAGAACCACTGGAAAACCATCTGGGACTTTTCAACAGTACGCACCCACCGACAGGGGTTCGATCCCAGGACCTAATATTTTATGGACTAATTGATTGAATCGACCGACTTCTAGGGTAGACGCGTAATCTGAAAAGAAGAATACTGATATCATTCTCTACTGTAAAAAATTTGATTTTACTCCCTTTATTGAAATTTAGCAAATGGGAACCAAGTGTCTGAAGTGATGCTACGATATCATTAAAACCGAGTGGTGTTCGTTCGCTCATGATACGAAGTCAAAACGACAAAGAAGCTATTCCTCATCAATTGGAAAAATAATGCGTTTACGGTTCAACCAACCACTCACATGCTTCGGGTTCGATTCGTATCTGACTGACTGACTGACACACTCCTAAAGTCTAGCTTAATCTACTAGATTAATCAAGTATTACGCAATAAATTACACTGAGAATCCGGTACATTGCGTGAACACTGTTCAGAATAAGGCTGTTATTATTATCACGAGTTGGTTTGTAAAGATTAAATTTGTTTTTACGAGTTTAACCAAGTGTGAGGATGGATTTCCCACCGATGACATTGGTTAGGGTGCCAGTCGCGCTAAATCATGAATTATCAGAAGTTAAAATTCATGGGCTAGCCATTGAAGAGTCGGGTCCCAGTGGCTGAATGTGTTATGTATGTGAATATGAGGACCTTGTAGACTACAAGCGAATCTAACTAATGCGCTGGCTAATCTGTCTTAATCGCACGTCAACAGCAACAACAATAATACCGCCGGGCACGCAAGACAAATAAAAGAGAAGACTGGACGTTGATATGAGAGCTTTTACTGTCTCAAACAACAGTCGAAAATGTTAAACAACAACTCCGTATTTATACAATTAGAAAAATCAATGTCACATTTTAAAAATATTAACGACCTTGGGGAATTCAGTAATTTAAATCAATAATCACGCAGATGCGTGAAATCAATGATTATGCTAGTGTATGAAATAAATAATGAATATTAATGATTCCCCTGCGTATATATTACCTCCCCCTTTTAAAAAGAATCTTGCAATCAGTTTAGTATCTTTTTTCCTTGGGGTCGATTTGGAAAGGAACTGTTTGTGTTCGTTTGCGCTGGGATCGTCGGCTGGGTAGCATCTCTTGTTTTGCTTCTGGTTTGACTGGTGGTATTTTGAAAGTTTCCAGTAGTAAATCCAGTGGCAATTTAGGTTCTTGGGATGTAGTATATCGACGTCGTATCTGATTTTTATGTCTTATCCACCATTCATCCCCAACTTTAACCTTGTACATTAGAGTTCCATGTCGACGTTCTATCAAGCCTTCGGCCCATTTTCTGTTCCTCGGTCGATAATCGCGCACATAGACGGCATCACCCTTGCGGTAATACTTCAGACTATTTCTTCGTTGATGTGACGAAGATGGTAACATGGAGTGGTGATAAGTTCGTAGCATTCGACCCATTAGAAGTTCTGCAGGGCTTTTCTTCTGTTCTGCCAGTGGTGTAGTTCGGTATACAAAAAGAAAGTTTTGTATTGCTTCCGGTTTCGCCCCTCCCCCTGCTTTCAACAACGCTCGTTTGAAAGTGTCGACAAATCTTTCTGCCTGACCGTTGGATTGAGGGTGATAAGGTGGCGTCCGCACGTGTTGTATACCGTTTCTCTTGCAAAATTCCTGGAACGCTTGTGAGGTGAACTGACTGCCATTGTCAGATACGATGATTTCTGGTATACCGTGACATGCGAAGATCTTTTCCAGGACTGATACTGTTCTGCTGCTAGAAGGTGGTGTCACTTGTACTACCTCCGGCCATTTTGAGTAAGAGTCCACGAGAACCAAGTAGTATATACCTTCTATCGGCCCAGCAAAATTCACATGTACGCGGGACCATGGTTTTGTCGTGGGCCAT